TTCCTCTAGGTGCTTCTGTCACAGCATTTAACATGTTACTTTCTATAATGCCTTCAAATGGACTCAAAACTATTTCCAAGCAAGGGACATAGAAGGAGCAGAAACCAATAAAAGAACTCCAGGGGCAGGCATATGGCTGGACCGCATGGGAAAGTGGAACTTGAAATACGGCTGAAGACAAGCTATTTCCTTGTCTCTCCATTTTGCTTCCCTAGGCTTCTACTCCATCCCCCTCCCTCTGTCCTTTATTCATCCCATTTATTTGCAATGCATACAAAGCCCTTACCTACTTTACTTTCAGTATTTAGCACAGAAAGGGACATGTTAATAACCAACATGAGCGGGCCTCCCTGGTGGCACAGGCGGTTGAGCAATGTACTGTGAAGCTGCTGCAGCCTCTGCAGCACGGGTTCAAAGCCCACATGGTGCGGCAGACCTCTCCTGTCTGGCCCGCTGCTCCCCTCAGCAGTGTACTTCAGGTTGATCTGCCTGTTTTGTTACCCCCTCTGTCTCTGGTGAATCCTCTCACCCTCCCACGCATCTGGCCTGTACCCCGGTTCTTGTATAAATAAATCTTTAAAAAAATAAAAAAAAAATAACCAACATGCGCACTGACTCAACTAGCTCCTCACAGAATGTCCCTCAGCTGAAACTAAGAATCTCTGGCAACTGATTAGCTTTGGGTCAACTGTCTACCTCTGATCCACATCAACTGTGGTCTTTGGCATGGAGAGGAGGTGTGAGGAGGGAGTATCTAGTTCAATCCCTAGTCTGATGACACCAAAAGTCTGTATTTGCTTTCTATTGCTGCTGTAACAAATTAACACAAACAGTGGCTCAATGTAACATTACCTTACAGTTCTGTAGAAGCCCATATAAAACTAAAACCAAGGTGTTGGCAGAGTGAGTTCCTTTCTGGAGATATGTTTCCTTGACTTTTCCCGGTTCTAGAGGCTCCCTTCCTCTATCTTCCAAACCAGCAACACCCCATCTCTCCAACCGTTCTCCTGGCTACATCTCCGACTCAAAGAAAGGTTCTGTTTTTAAGGACCCATGCAGGAAGCCACATCAGGCCCATCCAGAGAACCCAGAAAAATCTCCCCATTTCAAGATCTGTAATTACAGCCACAAAGTCCCTTTTGCTGTATAGGGCAAAATATTCACAGGTTGGGAACTCCCTGGTGATGCAGGGTTGAAAGCGCTATCAAGCCATTGCCAGCCACTGCAGGGAGTAACCCACGTGGGGCAGCAGGCCTCTCCTGTCTCGCCCGCTGCTGCCCTCAGCAGTGTATTTCAGTCGATCTGTCTGTTCTGCTCCCCATTCTCTAAGTGAATCTTCTCATCCCACATCTCTCTGGCTTACACCCCAGTTCTTGTATGCATAAATAAATGTCGTTAAAAAATACATATTCACAGGTTATAGGGGTTTAGAACGTAAACATCTTATAGGAGTGGGCATTATTCTGCCTACACAGTAAATGAACATTTCAAAGAGGAATGAACATGTGTCGTATGTTGACATGCCACACATGCCAGAGGGAGGGGCAGGGAGTTTTGGACTGAGTATAGCCCATGGACTATACCGCCATGGGAGTTCTGACACTCTCAGTTTGAGGAGTCAAAATCCTCACTGGAGAAAGTGAGATAGATAATTCTTTGGAGTTTTACTATAAAGAACAGAGAAAGTGGATGGGGTCAACTTTTAAGATGGAAGAGCAGCCTATTTATAACCTGATGGGGGTGCTCTAGAAAGGAAAAAAAGCTAATGGACAGTAGGAAGAACAGTTAAACCTGGACCTTTTGAATAGGTAAGGGATAGAATCTAGAACACCGGTGGAAGAGTTTGCCTTAAGTACGGTAAGGACAATCTACCAACAGTAACTGGAGGTAAGAGAATACAATTGTGCATACACAAGTAGGTAAGTATGTAATGGCAGGAGGCTGTGGAAATGTCCTTGTTTCTATTTTCTAAGTTTTAAAAAAAAAGTTATAAGCTTAGAGTGAGGATAGGAAAGGTGTTAGAGTTTTCAAGGAAAATGAAAGTATAAATCAGATGTAGAACTGTCTGAAGATACTAAGGCCTACTTAAGGACATGACTTTAAACACAGATTGCGTTAACATATTCAGCTGCCTAAGTGTGTAAATGCAGAGAAAGTAACACACTGAATTTAATTAAAAATGGAGTTTAGTCAGTCAAGGATAATGAAGACAAGGTCAAAACAATTTACTACGTAGCCAAGAGTGAGTGAGAGGCCCACAGAATCTAAGGTGGGAAATGAAGCAGAGGTGGTAAAGACAGGTAAGACAAGCCACTCACTGTTTCTGTATCTATACATCCAGGCATTCTAGACAGAGTACCTCTAAATTGGGATTCATGTCTTACCTTACTACCTTAGTATATAGATTTGTTATCTGAATGGATGGAGGCAGTTGCTTAACCCACAGTTTAAGAGAAATTTCCCACCCAACTCCTCCCATAAAATTCCTCCTTCCTTGTTAAGAGTTCAAGTTACAATGCTTCACCAAAACCTATAGTATAAATAAATCCTTTGAAATGAGGCAAAATGTTGAATTCCTACAGTGCTGTATGTCCAACAACATTATCAGAAAATGTACCAGATGTAACCCAACTACAGTTAAGGTTGCCCTTATGATCACCTACCTGGGTGGCACGAAATCTTTGAACTTCCCAACCTCTAATTATTTCACCTCCTTGCAGTAATTAGCAGGACCCAAAATAGGCCTTGAGAATACCAAGTTTTCTAAGGAGACAAATGAAACTCAACCTGGGAGTGAAGAACAAATGCACAAAGAGCATGTAAAATATGTTTTATTGTTCTTTAAAAGGGTTCAGGGTTTGGTTTTAAATCAGGCTGCACACCTTTCATCAGTCTGACATCTGTCTCACCATGTCAAACTGGCTTCAGTTAGCAATACTTCATTAAATCCAAAAGAAAAAAAAAAACTTTAATTTTAAGGGGAAAAATCCAGTTCTGAAAATAATTAACATTAGTCTGTAATTTGAAACAAACTGAAGGCCTAATGTTTCATGTTGCTTTATACACCCTTTTCCTCATACAGAACCAGGAATGTAATTTTCCTAACTCAGGCAGGCACTGATACTGGTGGACATGGCATGGGCATGCATGCACACACGTGCACACACATACACACTTCTCTCTCTTCCTTCCTCTCTCTCTCTCCCCTCAAGCAACAAAAATCAGAGCACGTCAAGAGGAAATAAGGTTGTTGTGGTATTGATCAAAATTCTTGGGAGTCAGTTTGAGCTTAGAGGTTATGCATTATGATCTTGAGCCTATGTTAAAGGAACCTATAGTCATGTTCTGAAATAAAGAATTTTGGATAGTACCATCATTTTTCACTTTAAAATCCTAGAAGCAATTTCAAAAAGCATTATTTTGTTTTCTTTTCCGGGATAGGGGAAAGAGAGAATGTACAGAATTTCACTGAGTTAAAATTCAAAACAACTCCAGCATAGGAAATAGGCAGTTCACATAGCCAGCCAATGTCTGAGGTATCATGAGTGTGAGACAAGGTCCTGGTCCATTCCTACTGGCCTAGCTCATTTAAACAAAATGGGAAGTCTATGGCTCTGCACAGCAAATTCCAGCAGGATAAGATGACCCTAAGCCTTTATTCAAATCCTTAGAAGCAGACCACTATTAAGTATATAATATTTAGACAGAGTGCTAGAGTCCCTGATGGTGTCCTTCACCTGTTTTGTCAATGCAGCCCAATCACAGCTGCCTTCTGCAAAAGACCAGAACAGCTTTTCTAAATCAGCACATTGAACCCAGCAAAGAATCTGCGAGAGCAATAATACACCACTTCACTAGTAAAGCAGTCCCTTTGCTACTCACTGGGTTGCTCTCTCTTCTATCCTGTTATGGCCTGAGGACACATACTCACTAGGCATTGTTGGTTTTGAACCAGCGATTTTTTTTTTTAAATCTTATAAAGAAACTATTAAGAAAATAACAAGGCAATCAGTGGTTAAACTGAACTGTACAGGTAAGGGGGCAGTTTAGAAAATACCCATCACAGGCATTTCTCAGGTCCAAAATATTGTGTCTTTCTGCTACTCCTTTTACCATTCTTGAAGAATTCAGAATATAAGCAAGTTCTAAAATAAAAAAATTTAACAGCATTCTCTGACATCACTGGATAAAAATCAGAGTAATGCTACAGCCCACAATTCTTTAAGATGTAGAGCATGTGCTCTCTGCCTGGACATACCTTTAATGATGGCCTGGTGTAATCCCCTTCAGAAAACAAAAGTTTAAAAAAAAAAAGTTTCTGGGATACCCACTAAACTTCATTGGTTAGAAAAGAGAAGAACTCGACTCTCAGCTAAGTTCATTGAGAAGAGAGACTCCTCTTAAAATGCCACTTTTCCACTAATTTACCAAAACACAGGTCTTGGCTACTTTGCCTAATGTTGAACAGGGTTTTCAAGAAAAGAAACTAACATGAATACCCTATCAATAAAGACTAAAACCAACCTGGATCATATAATATATATATGCCACTGCTCTTTTTTTTTTTCTTTTTCTTTTTTCTTTTTTTTTTTTCTAAAAGTGCCCAGGTGGGCTTAAGGCTGCCAAACTGCACACACATCTATAGCAACAAGGGCTTCTCCTATTCCACCTACAACTTGTATGAAGGGGAAAAAAGAGGGATGGTAAAAGAAAAGTAGAGGAGAAAAATATACAACCCACCCCCTCCCCCCCAAAACAAGGTAAGGAAAGAAGTCTCACAACAGGGAGATCTATGTGCCAAGCATAATGGAAGAGTGTGCTCCCCAAACAGATGGTTTTGCACAGGCTAATGTTCTGCTGGTTTTCCTTAAAGACCTATTTTGAAACAGTTAAAAAAGACAGGAGATTCTGAAATAATTCAATCTTGAAATTCAAAATCTAACACTAGGAGCAAAATCACCCTTCACTGAATTAATCCCTTTTTTTCTTTCTTTTTTTTCTTAAACATTTTATTCATTGTTATAGAGGGATTTTCTTTTTTGTTTGCTTTTTTCCAATCATTAGGAGAGTGGTTGAGGAGTACTGAATCCATCACTACTTTGATGACACAGTTAAGATTCCAGATTCACATTTCCAGGTACCAAGAGTTCCCTCTAAATGCCACAATCAAGTCAGCCTTCGATTACATTTCTTTCTACTGAACACAGCAATGCCCATTGGTATCTCTGAAGCGTAATCGCATCTTAGGTCGATATTTCTCCAGGTAAAGCAGCTGTTTGGAATTGAACGCTCCCCTTCTTTTTCTGAAAATATAAGAACGGCAAACTTTATCATGTAAAAAGAGAGTTGCCAGAATCACTGAAATGCATTATTTATGGTCTCAGGCTTTTCTAACTCACACAGTTGAAAACTAGCATAGTTCCCTTATGACATCACTTCTTACTGAAAGGGATGAGTTGAAACATGAACTTTCTGTGCCTTCCTAAAAGGAATACACGAATTTTCTTAACTGATTCTCATTAGATATTAATCATGTAATAAAGTTCAGTTTGTCCAGGGATATCTGACCATACTCTTCCCAATTAGTTTACTATCTTCTTCAGATTAAGGTAGAGAGTATTTAGGATGAATGAGTAAGTATTTAGATGAAGCAGGCACAGATGGGCTTCTGTGAAATGTTACCTTTCTAGAGCTGCTACCATACTTTTCATGCCCTCCATCATAAATCATCTTTTTCCCCCCTTTTTTTAAAGGAAAGGTTGAAAGGGAAAAGGTGAGACAGTAATTGCCAAAGAATATTCTGGACAACAAAATAACAGGACACATTATTCCAGACTGTTGCCAACATTTTTCCTGGACACTACCATTCTGATTTTGTCCCTAAACAGGTCGTTTAAGTGTCTGGAGCCTCTAAATTCTTCCATACCTCTTGATCAGAGATTTGCTTTTGGACATCCATTAAAAGAGACTCTGAGACTCTACTACCTACATATTTACTTTAAAGATTCCTAGATATTCAAGTAATATACTGGATATATTCTGCAATATCTAAATTTGCCACATACATTAGAAAATCAATTTTGGAGTTACCATTATTACTGTATCTTTATCCCTTGGTCTTTCTGATCTCTTTAGTCAAACAATATTGTAAGCCAAATACAGCAAACTACTACTACTCTGTTCTACAAATGGATACTTCCCATAATTCCTTTCTTTTGCATGATCTTGCTTAATATGTATTTCCAATCATTAAAACTTCATACTCACTGTCTTATGAACTGAACTGCATCTTCGTACTTCATTCCACATTCAATCAAAGCAAGTGCAACCAGCACAGGTGCCCTGCAGAGAGAAACTCATCTGTAAATATCCACAGGTTTTTAGAATTAAAGCATTTTTTTTTAATCCAGGATAATACATCTTGAATTTTTTCCTTTTTCCTACATACTATCTGCTACTTTCCATTGTCTTAAAAATACCTGTAGCATTACAGCTTCTATAATACCTATTTTCAGCACAGCACAAAATCCTAAATCTTTAAGAGAACTCTACTCTTTAAAACATCACAATATATGAAATTTTCACATCAAAAACAATTTATCACAGTGAAATAAAATGTTCAAATGTATTATCTAGGAAGACTATCTCAGTAATTTTTGCTACAAATCAATTTTAATATCATTATCATCACCTATTTAAAAGGTTCTGGACTTCTTTAACAAAGTTCTTTTCCTGAGTTAAGACAGTGTCAGAGGTTAGAATATACATTTTTGTAATCTAACAAATCTATAGGGTACCAACTCTGGACTAGCTAAACAAGAGTAGTTATTAGTTATAAAATTACCCCAAGTCAAGTTAGAACACTATCTTTACCCTTCAAGTTAGGAACTGACTGAAACTTCTGACCCTGAAGAAAAAACGACTAAACTGGAGGGGCAGGGGGAAGAAGCAACAACCAAAGAGCTGAGCAGATGTAACATCCTGAGTCACCACCACCTTGAGGCAACAGCAGTCTGCACTAATGTTTTCAGTTCAAGTGCACATCATAAATTGGCATTTAAATTTGCTTTTAATGAGAGGGTTGCAACACCATTCCAAGCAATGCTGAAAGAAAAGTCTTCAAATCAAAGTCAATTTTCATTCTCCATACATCTCCTTTCAGGAGTTTAAAGTTCAGCCATCTGCTCTCCTGATACTAACTTCCTTCAGCTCATCCAAAATTAACAATGTATAGAATGTTAAAAAATCTAAAAGTTACTTTAATTTTGCTGCCCATTTCAAAGGCTTGAGCTTTTGATAACTTTAAATTAAAATGTGGAGAAACAGAAAACATACTGAATTAAGGTTGCGTTCTTAACTCAAAGACAATTATATAAATCAATCTTAAAACAATTTCTGAACCAGATTCAGACAACCAATGAAACACAAAAAACTGTTGTAAGAGGGCCTCCCTGGTGGCGCAAGGGGTTAAGCACAGCACTGTGAGCTGTTTGCAGCCTCTGCAGTGCAAGTTCAATCGCTGGCCAGAGAGCTACCCACATGGCACTCAGACCTTTCCTGACTCGCCCGCTGCTCCCCTCAGCAGTGTACTTCGGTCAATCTGCCTGTTCTGTTCCCCACTCTGTCTCTGGTGAATGTTCTCACCCTCCACACACACACACCTCTGGCCTGTACCTCAGCTCTTTTATGCATAAATAAATCTTAATAATAATAATAATAATAAAATTTAGTATAATAAATGCAAGTTTCTATCAAAGTGAAATTCTCTATTGGCTCACTCAGGCATGATAATGAATTCACAGGTAAAAGGGTAAAATCTTACCTTCCCAATCCTGCAACACAATGCACTGCAACACAGCAACCAGGTTCTTCACGAAATTTGGTTTTTAATAGGTTTAGCCAATCATCTACTATCTGGTTAGGAGGTGGTGCTCCATCATCAAATGGCCAATCCTGGGGAAAAAAAGATCTTTTACATTAAATTGCTTTTTTCCCCAAGATTAATATCCTAATGCAGAACAGCTGCATATTACATAGAGTAGGTCTAAATGAACTAATCTAACTATACATACTTACTCTAATTAACACAATTCTGAACACTGCTGAAAAATGACCCTAGATGACTTAGCCTTCTCAATGAAATACAGTGTCATAAGTGTCTGATTTTACCTTATGGAAATCTCTTATCAGAGTGGTAAGTCAGTGGATGTTCTTCAAATATTTTGTCTGAATATAGTAATAAGATGTAACAGAGAAAACGTAATTAATGCTAAAACAAAGAGATACCTATAAGTAATTTTTAAAAGTCCACTCTGACAAAGAAATATACCAACTGGTGTCTCTGAAATGCAAAAACATTGGGATATTTTATTTTTTTTTAAACATGCGACTATTCTAATAGATCAGATAAGGACACTTTAAGATACTAGAGAAAAGGAGAAAAGTGAAAAAGCATTAAATTAATTCTGCAGTCATTATTGGCAGTAGTAGACACTTCATGTAGCCCATTAGCCATGACAGTACATTATGTTTGATTAGTCAACTATACCACGTAATTAAAGGGCTACCAGGTTATTATGTCACTACATAGTCTAACTGTAAATAACAGTAAAACCTTAATCCTAAGTACTTTAGTCAAGAGTTTACTTCCTCTAATAATCCCTAAAATGCAACTAATTAAGGAATAATAAGAAACATGCTTCACTTAATCTTTTCTTTGCATGAACTGTCTTCCCAACTACAGACTAATGCAATACAGAACAGTTTCTATCAAAAAACCATTCAAGTAATAGTTTAAAAGCATATGAACTTCAAACTGACATAGCTGAAACCATTAGTCTTGTCCACTGTGCCTCAGATTTGCCACAAGCACTCATCAAAGAACTGAAAGGTCTTATTTGGGGAGATAGCCTCTGATGAAATATTTCAAATGCTCATCAACTAGCAAAAAGTAAATTAACAACCCATCTTAAGGGCCTCCCCAGTGGCACAGCGGTTGAGCGCTGGGTTACGAAGCTGCCCACAGACTCTGCTGCGACGGTTCGATCCCCAGCTGCTCCCCGGCCACCAGACAAGGGTCCCACATGGAGCGCAGACCTCTCCTGCCACCCGCTGCTCCCCTCAGCAGTGTACTTCGTCAGTGTGCCTGTTCTGCTCTCTGCTCTGGCTCTGGTGAATTCTCTCACCCTCCCATGCTTCTGACTGTACTCAGTGCTTGTATAAATAAACAAATCTTAAAAAAAAAAACCAAAAAAAAAACCCATCTTAAAATCTGTCTGGGAAAAGGAAAGAAATTCCAAGCTTAATTCTAATTTTTTTTTTTTTCAGTTTAAGACCCTAATTTTATCTGATCACAACTATTTAAGACAAAACAAAACAAAAACCTAGATTTAAAGTCCTAGAATAAATCCTAGACCTACTATTATCTTCTACAAAATAGTTCAAGTTCTTTCATTCATTTCTATATTGTAAAGGTGTTTACCAACATTACTGATTCAGAGAGACTCCAGTCACTCACAGTTCATTTTCTCACTCTGCCATCTGTCAAAACACACTGATTTCTCATCTATCCACTAACTATACAAGAAAAAGGAATTTGTATTCACCCTATTTTCAGAAGTTAAAAAAAAATTTTTTTTTAACACAGAGCTGTATTTTACATGTTTCTACTTATCCCCAAGGGACTTTCACCCAAGGGACCTTTAAAGTCATATAGAAATGGGGAAACAAGCAAATTACTACACCTTGCTTGCTATACTATTAAAATATATTTTTAAAAAATGGGGTTTGGTTATTTAGCTTTTGTCTTCACCAAAGTGGAAGTGAGGAAATTTTATGGAGCAGATATGAAACAGCTTCCTTAACAACAAGCATATTTCTTTTCATGAACGGTCTTCCAAACTACTGACAAATCCAGTAACAAAACTACCTTTTAGTAAGAAATAGAAATATATTCTTTTATCAATATCATCCTTATTACTTTCTTCCTACTCAACTACTTAAAAAATCTACAGTTCTCTTCCTATACTGTCTTCCCACAATTAAATCAAATGATCTAATGAAGACTTTTTTTAAGACTTTTTCTAGATTAACTGGTATATATGAAATGTTTGAGTAAAGAAAACTATAAGAGGTTTAAAAAGAAAAAGAGATCTATAAGACATCTATAACTACAAAGTCATTTCACTACAGACTCTTGCAACTTAGACAATTATTTAGGAAAAAATGTATAAATTTTTACCTAATTGGAGGCTCTTGTTTCCAATAATGAAACAGAGTATTTAGGGGCTAAGTAGGAATTCAACTTAAATTAACTCCAATCACATAATGTTCAAACTGGACTATGAAAGACATCTGATCACACAAAAGCTGCTTAGAACTCTACCAAACAGTGTCTGAAACTGTGATGGTTACTCTGGGCCAAGATGCCCAGTCTCCCTTTTCCTTCCTATCCTCTCTTCCCACCTTTCTACTCTCCACAAATTTTCAAAAAAATATTAAGTAACTAATATTTTCTCACAAAGTAGAGTATTTCCATGTGACTTAAGAATGTCTGATGGAAATTACTTTTAAATTCAAACCAGCAGCCTAGAAACAAAAATTAAATACTGCATTAATTTTCCTAAAGAAAACAAAATGCAATTTTCCATTTTCCTGAAATAAATGTACACTAAATTTTGCTTCCTATTTGTTGAAAATAGCCTGCATATAGATTTTAAAAGCACAATGGACAAAATCTAAAGAAAATTTTCAAGATTGCTATGAATACTGTTTTTCCTATTATAAGCTCACAAATATCTGTTTGAAAGATACAACTTGTCTGGTGAAAATTAAAACACTACACACTCACTAGAACGTGGATTCCTTCTTTTTCTACTGGAGCTTTATCATATGTAGCATCACAAACTCGAACCAATGTTGTCACTCCATACTTCTTAAGTTCCTTTAAAGAAAAATATAAGGAAAGTTGCTTCTATAATCTGCACCCAAAGCTTTTAAAATACACTATCATAAACTGAAACAATGAGACGTTATTCCTAGACAAAGATCAAAATTATTCACAACTGGAGAACTGTGGCAACGTATATAGAGATGTTCTCAAACTTTTCAGTGGAGGCATCAATAATTCACCTTTCTAGAGAGCAATTTGGTAGCATAAACACAAGAACTTTAAAAGTACATTCTTTAACCTAGAAATTCTGGGAACATTTTTCCTCCCCTTCCTCACACTCACCCCATTTTCTTCTGGGAATCTGATAACAAGATAAGTAAAGATATACACAAAGATTTAAGTCCCAACAAGTTCAGCATCGCTGTTTGAAATGGTGAAAAGCTGGAAACATTAATGGTGCAAAACCAGAAGAATGGTTGAAGAAAGTGTGGGACATCTAAACAATAGAATACTATCACAGCTATTAAAATAATACTGGGGCCTCCCTTGCGGCTCAAGGGGTTAAGCACAGCACTGTGAAGCTATCTGCACCCTTTACAGCACAAGTTCAACCCCAGCCTGCCAGGGAGTTGCCCCATATGACACTGCAGACCTCCTGTCGCGCTTGCTGCTCCCCTCAGCAGTGTATTTCAATCCATCTGCCTATTATGTTCCCCACTCTGTCTCTGGTGAATCTTCTCACCCACCGTACCTCTGGCCTATACGGCAGTTCTTGTATGCATAAATAATCTTTTTTAAAAATTAAAATAATACTAAGGGGGCCTCCCTGGTGGTGGTGCAGTTAAAGTCTCAGCACTATCAAGCTATCGCTAGCCACCGTGGCATGAGTTCGATCCCTGGCCAGGCAGCTAACCCACATGGTGCAGCAGACATCTGTCTCGCCCACTGCTCCCCTCAGGAGTATATTTCCGTAAATCCGCCAGTTCTGTTCCCCACTCTGTCTCTGATGAATCCGCTCAACCCCCACACCTCTGGCCTACACCCCAGCTCTTGTATGCATATAAAAATTAAAATTAAAATAAAATGAAATTACATTGAGACTGAACAACCTAGGAATGATTTAAAAGCTCACATTCCAATGTTTGTCGAATATAATTTCTCTATTACCCCCCCCCCAAAAAAAAAAAAAGATAACTCTGACATAAAAATGCTCTTCTAAGTTTCTGGACCCTTATATATATGATGATGACTACTATTGTGAAGTAGTTGTAAATACCTTTTCACCAAAAATGGTTAGGTATTTCAGAGAGACAATTCTACCATGTACTGCGAGGGTACCTTTAGGCAAATTACTAAATAGTTCTGAACCCCATTTTTTCCTCATCTGTAAGGAGATAATGATGGTACCTATATTTCATAGGGTTACTGTAAGGAGTAAATGGCATAATGCGTAAAATTGCTTATTGTAATGCTCGGCACTAAATGTGAATCATTTTTATTATTGAAATATGACAAATGGGGCCTCCCCTGGTGGTGCAGCAGTTGAGCGCTGGGCTGCGAAGCTGCCCGCAGCCTCTGCAGCACCGGTTCGATCCCTGGCAGCCGGCGAGGGTCCCACATGGCATGCAGACCTCTTCTGCCGCGCCCGCTGCTCCCCTCAGCAGTGTATTTCATCTCTCTGCCTGTTCTGTTCCCCACTCTGGCTCTGGTGAATTCTCTCACCCTCCTGCGCTTCTGACTATACCCAGTGCTTGTATAAATAAATAAATAAATCTTTAAAAAAAAAAAAAAAAGACAAAAGGACTGATATGTAGGATAAAAACAAAGTGTGACATAATCCACAAGACCTCCCCAAATTCCATAAATATTCTTTAAAAAGCTATTGTAACTATTTCAACCCAGTTCAAACAGATTGGTAGGATGAACATCCAGACTTCAAACACAGAAATAAATGGCTTTGTGATGAGAGATTTCTTTATAATGGTATTAATTGTTAATAGGATATTACCTAAGAATCAATCCAAAAAGTAGATTATGATACAATCTTACCTCTGTGAACTTGTTGAGGGTAGCATTGGTAGGGTTGTGAGTTATCAGAAAACGCATGTTCTCATAGGAGATCTCCACAGGGGCTGGACGGTTCATTATGGTAAAAAGTGTGAGCGTGCGTGTGTGAGTGTGATGGGAAAATGAAAAAAAAAAATCAATAAATCTTGAAATGTTTCACAGCAGAAAACATTAAAAAGACCACTAAAATGCCTATTATCGATCAGTGTTTTCTCTATTCAACTTGTTTATTCCTTAAGAAGCTTCTCTCTTCAAGATAAGCAGAAGTACTTAGAATCCACTTGAATCCAAATTCAACTTGGGGCCTCAATGGCTGCAGATGGATACCTTCGGACTCCAAAAAAATCCAACTACATACAAAACTTAAGCAGCCTTTACTACATTTAGGCACTAGTGAGACAAGTTAAAAGTGTAGGTCGCTTTCCACTTATGTTTACTTGATGCTTAATTTTACTGGAGTCATTAAAAGAAATATGCTTGCAATTAAAAAAAAAAAAGCCAACTATTTCTGAGGCCAGTCTCGGTGTCCAGAGTCTTCAAGGCAATGTTAATTATGGCACATAGAATCCCCAAGCTCACTTGTCAGCAAAAACGCTGTGCTGAGCCTGGCAGAAGTCTGCCCTCACGCTCAGAATCGCCATAAATGTGCAACGTATATTCCAACGAAAAACCTGGAGGAAAATAAAGCATAAGTAAAATGAACTGGGGTTGACAACATACTTAAACACAATACCCAAAGTTGGAAACATTCTTTACAAGTCCAAAAACATCTGAAATGCCACCAATTCTAAATTACTGCCAAGACTAGGACAAAAGCATATTCCTAGACCAGAGACTTAAAAGTTAAATATGTCTTATTTCAAAACAGGGTTCAACAAAGTTTCTGTGCTAATAATTTTTAAATTATTGACTTTCTACATTCATTTTAAACAACTTTAAAATGCCTAAAAAATATAAATAGAAACCGTCCCTCCTTGAACTCTTTTCATAAAGTTCATAACAATTTCATTTTTATGCTTTGATGGTTAAGTCCGTCACATATGTTTTTTGCTTAAAATAAAAGCCGTATTTGTGCTTGAAAATTTAAGTTCTTTCTATCCAAAATATATTGGACCACAAAGTATGTCTGCAAAATTATCTTCTATTCCTCATAACTCTGAGTAGTTGTTCCTGTCTGTGAGGAATGATGAAAAGGATCAGAAAGTCAAGTGATTTGTCAAAAGTAAATGAGTTAATTGAGTCCAAATTCAAACTCAAGTCTTCTGTTAGTCCCATGTTTTTCTTAACATGCCACAATGCCTGATGACTCAACTAATATTCAAATCCCATCCTCTTATTTCTAGTTCATTTTACTACTTCTCGTATTACTGCCTAAAGAGTACAAAAGCATGTGAAGTTCAGATAGAAACTGCATTCTCCTGGCCTCCCCAGTGGCGCAGCGGTTGAGCACTGGGTTGCGAAGCGGCCCGCAGCCTCTGCGGCGCCGGTTCGATCCCCGGCTGCTCCCCGGCCACAGGAGGAGGGTCCCACATGGTGCGCAGACCTCTCCTGCCGCCCGCTGCTCCCCTCAGCAGTGTGTTTCGGTCCTTCTGCCTGCTCTGCTCCCTGCTCTGGCTCTGGTGAATTCTCTCACCCTCCTGCGCTTCTGACTGTACCCAGTGCATGTGTAAACAAAACAAACAAACAAACAAATAAATAAATAAAAACATGCCTCTGTTTAAAAAAAAAAAAAAGAAAAAAGAAACTGCATTCTCCTGTCCAAATATTAATCCCAACTAAGAAAAAGAAGTGGCAGAATTTTTAATATTATAAATCTGCTGTTTTGAAACACAGTTATCTTTACAAACTGGCTCAAAGTGTCAACATAATCATAAATTCCTTTGGAAATAGGGACAAGGTCTAAACTCATTTGCCTCTGCCCTAAGTCACCAATATAGTTTATTTAGAAGTCTCAAAAAAGATGACTGTGACCAGATAGAAAGACATGAAAGATGACTACAGAACCAATTTCAACACTGAAATATATAGATAAGAAAGAATCTAGCCCTACAAAGTTTCAAGCTTACTATACCTTCAAGTCTTTTTATGATATTCTTACAACGCTTTTCAAGTTACGTACTTGTGATTATATTACCATGGACACAAGCACAAAACTAAAACATTCCTAAAATATGAAGGATACATAAGAAATCCAAAATGGCATTCTAAAAACTTTAGTCCCCAGCAGAATGAGTTTCTCCTACAGTAAAAACACAAAACTTCTACAAACTAAGAAAAACAAAACTACATACCACCAGTCTTCCTAACTCATAATTCTAAGTGCAGCCTTAAAATACAGCCACCCATGCATGATACCTATCATAGAGAACTCCTTGTACAGTCAAGGAATTTTAATGTTAGGAGAACTTGAGAGTTCAACTACTGACTTAAAAAAGAAAAAAAAATTGGGCATCCAGAGAAGTAAAATGACTTAAGCAAGACCACACTGTTAATCAAGTAGCAGATCAAGTGAAAAATCCAGGTCTCACAGATCTGAGGCATACAGCTGGAGAGGGGAAAGTAGAGGGGTCAAAACAGATGGGAAAACAGAAGGGAAAAGCACAAGGGACTCTGGTGATGGTTCACGGGTGCTAGTTAGTAGAACTGTGGGGACTATACCCGAGGGGAGAAATCAAACACTATATAAAATTAACAATGATGTTAAGAAAATAAATTATAAAAACTCTTGATTTTTCCTAAAATCTGGACTATGGACATAGCCACATTATTTTTCAAGTCATAATTTTTTTCATCTAACAATAAGTTTAACTTTCTTCACATATTTGCTTGGATATTCATCTGCAATTCTGTGACCTTATAAAAAGAGGAGAAAAGATTACTACTATTCAAAGAACAGTGGTTTGCATATAGCAGAGAGCAAAACATAAGGAAATTCTAACCTGTTTGAATCTCTTCAGTTCAATGATGTTATCATAGCTAATGTTTGTCAGCTGAGTAAAAGTACTGACAAGCCTGCATTGTATGGATGGTCAGGCTTAAAAGGTTATAGAGCTTTAGTATTACAAAGTCTTCTACAGTGCTTGCTCAGCAAAAAGAAAAAGCTCTGTCCCATCTATTCCTCCAAGCTCATTTTAGAAGGATCACTTCCAGAGATAAGGATAATTCATTATTAGACTTCCGATTCTTAACACCATACTGGGATGCACAGAAAAGGAATTTTTGCCAAACGAAACAGTATGTTCTATCAATGTTAACAGATACATGATAAAAAAAGCAAGCTTCTGTTCCTTCCTTCTCCCCCAAGAGTTAAACTGCACTTCAACAGTTAAATGTTCTTGCAACTGTCAATTCAGATAAACTGTTAACTTCTGTGACATGCATAAGAATTTAAAGCAAAAAGTCTAAAAATTGGGCCTCTCCTGGTGGCGCAGCAGTTGAGCGCTGGGCTGCGAAGCTGCCCGCAGCCTCTGCAGCGCCGGTTCGATCCCCGGCTGCCGGTGAGGGTCCCACATGGCGCTCAGACATCTCCTGCCAACCTCAGCAGTGTACTTCGGTCCTTCTGCCTGTTCTGTTCCCCGCTCTGGTGAATTCTCTCACCCTCCCGCGCTTCTGATTGTACCCAGTACTTGTACAAATAAATAAATAAATCTTTAAAAAAAAAAAAAGTTTAAAAATTATGAACAACCTACCACAGTGGGAAAAGTACTAAAAAACTACAGTTTTATATATACAGTGCTGTATGTCTTACATGAAAACTTTCTTCTAAAGTTGTCTCTGAGGAATTCTGCTCTACCTACTTAAATAAAAATTGATTTTTGTTTTAATTTACCAGGTGAGGGAAGAGGCTGATTTGCCTGAGCTATAACAGCAATCAAGTTCAAATATGTACCCAAATATTCTCTCCAAATATTCTCTTATGTTTTATAGAACCTAACTTTTAAAATATTGAACTTCAGACATATTTCCTAGGCAACATTTTAATCTTTAACAAAGAACACAATGCCATTGAAGGATTAGAAAGGCTTTTCTGTAACAGAAAAATGCGTCTAAATTAAGAAAGGATAGGAGGGGAGAAAGAAAAAAAAAATGGAAGGCACTAGAACAAGAAGAGCAAGTTATCAGAGGCCTACCAAACTGAGATAATGTACTGCCACTAAGTCAACGACAACGGAAACTACTGAAAACACTAAAGAGAGATGTCTGAGTCTAAATGTCCTCTGTGACTACTGAGAACATCTACCTAGATGAGAAGCAAAAACCAAAATGTGTATTACATTTTCCATAACTTAATCATGGCAGGTCCTTAAAATGGAAAACTAAGAAGAGGTTAAGAAGAATAAAACAGACCTATATGAACTGTTGGAGAGGTGGTTAAGAGACATTTATACGGTACAAGACAGAACAAATGATTTAAGTAGAAATATTTGTGAGTTCTGTATATGCCTTCATGTCCATGGGCTATCTGGAAAGTTACAAAGAGAAAAGGTAACATCAGTTGTCTGGGCCTCAAGGGGGCTGGAGCCCAAGAGTATGATTTACTTTATCCAAATCTATATCTTTTCAACTATTTTAACTTTTTTCCATATACATGCATTTTTTTTTAAATTTCAGGGTGATAAAGAACCCTACAATGATTTACAATTTTAATTTAACCACGTTCATAACTGTGCTTTAGTCATAGGATTAGAAGGTTAGTGCTTCTGTTCCCCGAAGACCTGTACCTACACAGCTCCAGAAAGACAGTTTCCGTCTTTGTTAAAGACACTAACTTGGGCCTCCACGGTGGTGCAAGAGGTTAAGACACAACCTATGATGCTATCCGCAGCCACTGCAGCACAAGTTCGATCCCTGGCCAGGGAGCTACCCACATGTCTCAGTAGACCTCTCCTGACTCGCCCACTGCTCCCTTCAGCAGTGTGTTTCGGTCAGCGCACCTGTTCTGTTCCCCACTCTTGACTCTGGTGAGTCCTCTCACGCACCCCCACCCCCAGCACCACTGGCCTGTATCCCAGTTCTCGTATGCATAAATGAATAAATCTTTAAAAAAAAAAAAAAGATACTAACATGTTGGGTAAAGCTCGGGTCTTGCTTTGGCAACTATTATTTCTAAATTCAAATATAAACATGGAGGATTCAGTTCCCCATGGCCGCTGAGCAGGAGCCAGGCAAGCCTGAGTAGAGAAAGCCCTTTAAACTTCTAGGAATTTTAGAAGTTGAAAACATCCCCTGTGTCCGGGATTTGATATTCTATGGTTCATTAGGATCTGTTGTGGCTGGCCTTGGACATTTTTTGTTAACTAGTAGTAGTAGGATTAGACGATCATGTGATGTTGGAGTAGGAGGATTTTTCTTGGTGACTTTAGGATGCTGGTCCCATTGTAGGTATAACCATGCAAAACAAAGAATCCAGGAAAGAACTGCCAGAGAAGGAATTAAAAATAAAATTTTATATGAAAGTACCCCCCTTGACCCTGAAAGAAAACAAACTAATGGCAACAGCAGCAGCTGAGCAATCTCGGGCATAAAACACCCAAATACAACGGAAGTCAGTGTGAAAAAAGCTGAGAGCAACTATAAAAAACCTACCTTTTATGTACCATAAAGCCTTCACTCAAGTAATAAATAAATAAATAAATAAATAAATAAATAAATAAATAAGCAGGATTCAAAG